CGTTTGTCAATAAAACTATTTGATTGCTAGTAATCCAACATCACGACGAATATTAATGTTACGAACATTAAATAATCATTTGTTTCCAATGAAAACTTATCAACAATCATTTATTCTTATTCGTTCATCAAATGGCAAAATTTCATATTTATCAATTCGTCATTTTGTCTAATCATATATATATATATTTAATTGAACACAAGAAAAAAAAAATTTCTATTTAATTTCTTCATTAAAAACATTGTACATTTTTAATTTATGAAGAAAAAAAAATGAGAACATGAATCATTCACCGGATATTATAGCCGTTTAGCTAAAAATAAAGAATATTAATTGAAATTTAATAATTAAGAATGATAATACGGGATAATTTTTTTTTTTGCGATCCAACAATTCCAAAAAGCAAAACGATTCACAGATCTTCTTACTTTACCTTTGTAAATATCTGAATATTAACAATAAATTGTCTTTCATAAATGTGAAACAGAATTATTGATCGCCTAAAAATGATCGAAAAAAACAAATATTTATAGGAGGTGCCAATATTATGCAACAACGTTTGATTTCAATATTTTTCTATTGTCGTAAGCGCTAGAAATAATGCAAATAGTAATTCGATTAGACAAACATATTTGCAGTATGAATGTAAAAAAATACAAAATAATTATCAGATTTTTAAAGGTAAGGACTTCAGAAAACTGAAATCCTAGTTTTTTAACACGTAGAATGGGTAGTTATATCTCAGATAGAAAACATTGCGGAGAGCTCGGCGACATTTCATTTTGAACACAATTATTTACTCTACCGTTCTACGTAATCTAAACAAAACTATATTTAAGCGTTCTAGGTGCTGAAAACTCGTCCTTTGATTTTCTGAACTTTCTATCTTCGGAAATCTGATAATATTTTTTATTTCTTTATATTCCTATTGCAAACGTTTTTCTCTGCTCGAGTCACTATTTGGATCCTTTCTAGCGCTTACGACAGCGGAAAAAACTTGAAACATAGACCTTGTTAAATAACTTTGGTCAGTCTAGGAGAGTTGCTCACATGCGTGTAGGTGCTGACAACTCAGACCACCAATCACATCCACGCCTAGTTGAAATCGAGATAGTGATTTTAATAATCAATGAAGTTTTCTATCTAATACATTGTGTATCGAGATTTCATATAGCGATGTTTCTAAAAAGCTGGACATGGTAGATTTCAGGTCCCAGAAGGCTATTGTTTAACAATGCCATATAGAAAAGTACAAAATGAGGGATCGCCACATTTCCTACGATTTTCTCTTAAAAAGTTAAAAGCACCGAAAAAGCTGTAAAAAAAAGACGACCTCTCATTTTGTGCTCTTTAGAATGGATTTGTTAAAAAATAGTTTTTAGGATGTGAAAACTATCATGTACAAGTTTTTCGAAACGTTACTATAGAATAAACTCGAAATACATTGTTGTTTAACTTTTTTTCTATCATTTTATATCTAAAGTGTTTTTATTCTTAAATGGATCATACCAATTTATTATTTTGTGTAATATTATCAGTATTTAAATCGATTAATGTAATTGGTAAATGAGCTTTTTCATTATCAGATTCACTAAAAAAAAAATATAATATTCTTTTAAAAATTATATCCAAGAAATATAATACATACGGAGATCGATTAAAAACTATTTTACGATTTTGTAAACGTCGACGACGAGCATGTGTTGAAGGATCTAATGACGAACTTCGATGTTTAGCATCAGCTAAAAGACACATAATTATCTTACTCAAAATGTTTTTTAATGTTTTCTATTCTTAATAATATTCTATTGAAAACTTGTACCATGCATTATGTCTGTGTTCTTAAAAATAAGTATTCACACTCCCAAAGTTTTAATTCGTATCTCCGGAAGACAAAATTGTCAACTCAAGCAAAACTGTCTTAACTCAATAGTAAAATCGTATGAACATGAATCGTTTTAGTGTTATTTAACTCTATATGTCTTTTCTATAGTCCCACAAAAAAGTGATGAATCACATTGAGCAGTTCTTTTGTTAGTAATATTTGTTAATAAAGAAGACAATCTAGTGCTAGATCTCTTTTGTTTTCTGCATTCAATCCGATTGATTTTAATGCTTAGAGATTTTAATGAAGTAAATAAATATAACTAGTAAGATCTTTATTTTTTTTTAATCATCTTTTCTAAGTTTTTGTTTAATGTTGACTGGGTCTTTCTCTGATTTTATTTAATCACTATTTACGGATGTGTATATAGGTAAATAGATTCAATTGTAGACATAAAGTAACTAAATAGACATATGAAGTATCATTTAAAAAACAAAAACATTTCTTTTTAAACAAACCTCGATGTTGTTCTATTTGTTGTGTAATACAATTTTTAATGGTATCAATCCAACGTAAATTCATTTCTTCAATCGTTTCTCCATTTGATGACAACTTAAAACAATCAATTTTTAATTAAACAATACATAATCTCTATGAGATTTAAAATGTGAAATATGATTTAGCTACTGTTTCTAAGACGATTATCACGGTCTTAGATCGTATTTCACAAAAAAAACAAAAAACAAAAACAAAAGTCTATTTGAATATACTTGTATAATATATGAGTAATCTTTAAGTACGATTTCAAATTTCTTTCGATCATTTTTTGGATATGTACAAACAGCAATATCAGCAATCTATTTAGAAAAAACAAATAGTAGAAGATTTGTTGTTTTTTTT